TTTGTGTTTGGAAGCCGGGGGGTGGGGGTGGTGGGGGAGGACCAGGGAGAATGATTCAACCACTCAACCACTAGATGTCGCTGAAAACAACAAATCCTTCACACTGTGCCTTTAACCATTAGCTAAACACTAGCTAAAAAGTATCAAAAGGTACAAGTAACATTAAAAAAACTAAATACTGAAGCAAATAATAATGTTTTTGAGCAACTTAAATGGCTTTATTCGGGGTTAAGTTACATCTTATAAAAGTCTAAAGACCAGCACCTGAAAGAACTGAACGTTTTGATTTGTATGAATGTCTAAAACAGTAGAGTCTCCAGAAGTAATTAGACTGGAGGCAGCTGACAGTTTAGTCTCTGCTTCAGTGTTTGTGACAATAACAACAAATGTGAGACACGTTGTGACGCGTGTTCTCATCGTCTCACTGGTCAAATAACTGTCTGACGTCCTCCAGCTGTTTATTCACAGCAGCACTAAAATTAGCTGCTGTCACCAACACTCATGTGCTTATGTTTACTCATACCAGCCTCTGCCATGCTCCTGGCTGTAATCTGACCTGTATAATTTAATCCCAGAGGATTGTTGGGAACAATGTGATGACAGAGCATGAGTTTATTACAGCTGATAACACCCATCCACCATCTTCCTCTTATCCAGGGTCGGGTTGTGGGGGCAGCAGCCTAAACAGAGAGACTTCCCTCTCCACATGGACCAGCTCATCCGGAGGAATCCCATGGTGTTCCCAGGTCAGCTGAGAGACATAGTCCCTCCAGGGTGTCCTGGGTCTTCCTCTGGGTCTCCTCCCAGTGGGACGTGAGGCGTCCAGGAGGCATCCTAACCAGATGCCTGAGTCACGATCAATTGGCTGATAATGTCCTTTTGACAATATCACAATCACGTCTTTCTGATATTGTTCACCAACTTAATCTCGTCTGTCTGTTAGCAAAATATCTCATGAACCATTGGATCATGTCAAACAAATATCTAGTAACTGACGTTTGAAGTGAACCAGTTTACACAGCTCATTGTTTGACACTCAAGATCAAATGTTTTTCGGCACGTATTTTGTTCCGCAACTTTTACGCTATTTCAACAATTTATAAATCAAAACGTCCGGCTCCTTCAGGACATCCTATGACTTTTGGTGTTTCAGCTGTTGATAATTTTGAAGACGTTTAGCTTTTTTCAGCCACTTTTTTTTTCTCATTGAAAATGTATGGAGCTGTCTTTAACATCCTTAAAACCCTTCAAAATGTTCATAAATCTTTACTGTACTTTTCATGCCTCTGCCCCGGAGGAGGCATACTGTCCTCTGGTTGTCCGTCTGTGCGTTGGCTGTCAGTCACACTTTTGTGTGCTCTGTAACTCCTGAATGGAGCTATTTATTTCAGTCAAAATTCACATGATAATTGTTCTTGGCCCAGCAGAGGTCTGACAATATTTTGGAGTCAAAGCTCAAAGCTGAAGGTCAGGTAAAGTTATCTCTGTGGCTTGAATCCTTTTGTTTTGGAGGATACACATACGAGGTTGGTCACTGAATTTAATGATATGGTAAATATCAAAGAGGAAGTCATGTTTAGACAAATAATTAAATACTTCTTAGAATATTTAAATCCAAAAATAAAGGTCAACAGGTAACTTCATGCTCAGTACTTTAAACGCAGACGGGTCTAGGGCAGGTGGAGGATACGTTTCTGCTCTTTTAACTTCTTTGTGCTAATTTCAGCTTCATTTGGGTTTTTATTTTACTGAGTTGTTTTCTGTTTTTCTATCATTCTGAACTTTTCTGCTGTATTTCTGCCAATTTAAACTTCTGCTGCTTTTGAACTTTTATTTTGCTCATTTCGTTTTCTTACTGCCTCTTTCAGCTACATTTCTTCTCCTTATATCCTGATGCATCTCAGTAATCCAGGTAAAAAAATCAAAAAGAAAAAAATTGTATAGGTCTTCTGGACAGGTTCTTCTCTAATGAAATATTTCGTCTCTCCTCCAAGAGACTTCTTCAGTCTGAGAGTTTCAGGCAAAATTCAGGCTTTTRAGCACTGCCTCCAGGTGACTGATACTCACATCACATGGCTATCGTTGACACCTAATTAACACTTATTGTTAACAGGGGGTGGAGTGATACTGGCAATAGCTGCGCTGTAGCAGGGGGACAGCTGAAAACGGAGGCCTCCACCTCTGTTTAATGATGGATGGTCTTTCTTCACAAAAATGGCTTCTTTTACTCCTCTCTCAAACCAACGTTCCTCTCTATCAAGAATGAGAACATCCTCATCTCTGAAAGAGTGACCGCTGGCCTGTAAATGAGTGAAAACTGCAGAGTTCTGGCCATTAGATGTAGCTCGTCTGTGTTGGGCCATTCTTTTGAACAGTGGCTGCTTTGTTTCCCCGATGTATAACTGGTCGCAGTCCTCCTGGCACTTCACAGCATATACAACATTGTTCTGTTTGTGCCGGGGCACCAGATCTTTGGGGTGAACCAGCCTTTGCCGTAATGTGTTTTGGGGTTTGAAAGCCACTGGGACATCATGTTTAGAAAATAAACGTCTCAGTTTCTCCGAAACACCCGCAACACACGGAATAACCACTGGTTTGGGTCTCAGGTCCCAGTGGCTTTCAAACAAACCCCAAAACACATTACGGCAAAGGCTGGTTCACCCCAAAGATCCGGTGCCCCGGCACAAACAGAGCAATGTTGTATATGCTGTGAAGTGCCAGGAGGACTGTGACCAGTTATACATCGGGGAAACAAAGCAACCACTGTTCAAAAGAATGTCCCAACACAGACGAGCTACATCTAATGGCCAGAACTCTGCAGTTTTCACTCATTTACAGGCCAGCGGTCACTCTTTCAGAGATGAGGATGTTCTCATTCTTGATAGAGAGGAACGTTGGTTTGAGAGAGGAGTAAAAGAAGCCATTTTTGTGAAGAAAGACCGTCCATCATTAAACAGAGGTGGAGGCCTCCGTTTTCAGTTGTCCCTCTCCTACAGTGCTGCTATTGCCAGTATCACTCCACCCCCTGTTAACAATAAGTGTTAATTAGGTGTCAACGATAGCCATGTGATGTGAGTATCAGTCACATGGAGGCAGTGCTTAAAAGCCTGAATTTTGCCTGAAACTCTCAGTCTGAAGAAGTCTCTTGGAGGAGAGACGAAACGTTTCATTAGAGAAGAACCCATCCAGAAGACCTATACAATTTTTTTCTTTCTTCTCCTTATATATTTTTATCTGCATATTTCTGTATTTTTTCAGCTGTTCTCTGCGCCTTGAAGCTTTTCTTTTCACAGTTTGGGTTCTTCAGTAAATTTCAGCAATCATTCAGCTTCCCACCTCAGCTGTTAAATTCAGTTCAGCGTTTCAGCTTCTTTAGCCACTTTCAGCTAAATGATTCAGAAATAAGCATTCACACTGCATTTCCACACTAGCTGACTTTAGCCAGCGCTAAATTGATTTTGTGCAAATTTACAGAAATTAGCTAATTTTTATTTTTGAAGCTGACAGTCATCCACACCACATAACCTCAGATCTTACAGACGCTCCGCCATGATGTCCTGTTCAAGGTTTAACCAAAACAATTATAACTCTGCTTCCTTTATTTCTAAAATTGATCAAATTTGGAGTTTTTGACCTTTACAAGAACTGATAACTTTACAGTGTTTTTCACACACATGGATTTTACCTAAAGTTTCAGAATGTATTCGTTGATTAGACATCAACACTGTTTTGAGTTAATTCAATATGGAAAGATCAGCAGCTGATCAACATTAGACAACAGCTGTAGCCAGTTAAACAGACAGGCCTGTTGAGATAAAGTCTGCGTGGTAGTAGCTGAGAGTCATTCCCAGCACGAGCTCCGAGCAGGTCATTTTGACACAAGCTGCTTCAACCATTTCTTAATTTAATATGTTTTTAGTTAAACTCTGGCGTGGAAAATGATCAGTGATGTGCATTCCTTATTAAATACTAATTTAATTATTTATTTATTTTTAATAAAAAAAAAATTAACACTGGTTATTTTATTTAGCACAGAACCTAATATTGTGTCCAGCTTGACAGAAATGTTTTGTCCAACATAGTTTTACACTAGTGGTCAAATATAAAATTAATTTGTTGATCATTTATGAACTTAGCACAAAAAAGTCAGTAAATTGGTGTTTGGTAGATTATTTCTGTGTTTTTGTAATAAATCTGATGGTGGACACCTACAGCAGCACCTGGGGGGACCAGCAGCTCAAAACAAGCGTCAACAACAGCAGAGAAACCAGCCGTTTGACACAGAAGGTTTGGTAAATGTTTCATGTGCACAACTGCTGCTCATCCCACAAATGCATGTTCCTTACAAATGTGGCTGCGTATGAAAGCGAAATGAACATGTAATAACGCTTTAAGATTTATTGTCAAGAAGCTTCGTTACAATAAAGAAATCATCTAACAAACACTAATTTACTGACTTTATCTGACAATAACAACATCAAATCTTGCAAGTCTGCATCAGATAGATAGATAGATAGATAGATAGATAGATAGATAGATAGATAGATAGAT